CCTCTGGAGTGGACGTGCTTTCAGGAGTTAGTGTAGACTGTGGAGCTGCTGTTGGGCTGGACGTCGATTGAGGAGCGATCGTCGATGGTTCCGGAGCAGTCGTGGTTTCGGTCGAAGGAGACGAGCTGTCAGGAGCAATCGTCGGAGTGGACGGAGTTGATGTTTCTTCCTGAGCGGGTGTAGTCTTGGGCGCCTCGGTCGGAATATACGTAGACTCAGGAGTGGACGTGGTTTCAGGAGTTAGTGTAGACTGTGGAGCTGCCGTTGGGCTGGACGTCGATTGAGGAGCGATCGTTGATGGTTCCGGGGCAGTCGTGGTTTCGGTCGAAGGAGACGAGCTGTCAGGGGCAATCGTCGGAGTGGACGGAGTTGATGTTTCTTCCTGAGCGGGTGTAGGCTTGGGCGCCTCGGTCGGAATATACGTAGCCTCTGGAGTGGAAGGGCTTTCAGGAGTTGTGGTCGATGTGGGAGCTGCAGTCGAGGGAAACGTCGATGGTTCTGAAGTAGGCGTGGCTCCGGTCGAAGGAGACGTCGATGGTTCTGAAGTAGGCGCAGATTCGGTCGAAGGAGACGAGCTGTCAGGAGCAATCGTCGGAGTGGACGGAGTTGATGTTTCTTCTTGACCGGGTGTAGTCTCGGGAGCGTCGGACGGAATATACGTAGACTCTGGAGTGGAAGGGCCTTCAGGAGTTGTGGTCGATGTGGGAGCTGCAGTCGAGGGAGACGTCGATGGTTCTGAAGTAGGCGTGGCTTCTGTCGAAGGAGACGAGCTGTCAGGAGCAGTCGTCGATGTGGACGGGGTTGATGTTTCTTCCTGAGCGGGTGTAGTCTCGGGCACGTCGGACGGGTTATACGTAGACCCAGAAGTTGACGTGACCCCCGGGCTTAAAGTGGATTGAGGAACTGGTGATGGACCGGTTGTATACTTATTGTTTGGAGAAGATGTATAAAATGAGTTAGCGGGTTGCGTCGATGGGCTCAAGTCGACTTCGTCTTCAGAAGCTGATGTGGCCTTAGGAGCAGTTGCTGGGATGGATGGGAATGGAGGGGCAATGGTCGGAGCGGATGTAGTCGCAGGAGGAGTGGTACAAGGCGCTTTGACGTCATGGTCAAAACTTTTCACAATAGGGGCTTTGGCTTTGCTGTACTTGCTCTCTGTCGGACGGTAACTTTCTTTTTTATAACGTCCAATCTCAAAAAAGTCGGAACGACTATTAGGCTGATGGAAATTTCCAAAATTGTCATCATTGTTGCCGCGCAAAGACTTGGACGTGTACATCTCGTTGGCTTGGTAAGAAGGAATCTGTCCATCGTTTCTTTTTGATGAATACGGAGTTGCATTCGAATTGCTCACTTCAGTGTCTTTGGCTCTTGACTTACTTCCATAATCATTATTTTCATTCGTGAACCGCTTTCGATCACCCTTTTTGTATTTGTGGTGTTTCTGTTCATGCTGTTGGTTGTCGGTGTTGGTAAGCTTACTTGGCAAACCAAAGACTTTTTGAATCAAATTATCATTCACATTGCTGTACGACGGAGTTGGATACGAATGATCCACTAACGAGTGATCTTCAGCAACATTGGGGCTGTACGGTAGCGGAGAGAGAAAGTTCTGACTTTCGTTTTCGGTAGGATACTGCATGACATGGTTGTCGTTGCTCTCAAAAGGGTTTGGCGTCAAGGTCTCGACCAATTCCGGATGATTCAAGTCGTGCATTAACGTTAATCTCTCTTCTTCCGGAAATGTCACCTCAGCATCGCCGTATCCAGAAGCAGATGCACTGGATACATACGAGGTCAAATCCTCGTCAGTAGTGGTTTTGTACTGCGTAATCTCATTTCCAAAAATCTCATTCATCGGGAAGACGCACTTTAACGTAGTGCCAGCGACGAGAATACACTCTGCATCACTTGGCGCAATGCACTTGCCATTGATGTATGATGGAAGACCTTCATTGCAATTCTCAACAGCTACGTCCCCTTTTAAAGGACAGGCTTTTCCACTTGCGTTATCTCCACAGACTTTTCCGCGAGATGACGGGATGGTGTAAGTGGCATCGCCAAGGATTGACACGGTCGGGTCTGCAGCTACAAGACTGAGAGAGACTGCAGCTGCGATGGTTGCACCGAAAGGCTTTCGAACAAAACCCATCAAGTCTTGAATTTCTTTTGTTGAGACTTGAGTTATCAAATTGATGAAGCAGATTGAAGAATGAGATATTGCTCGGAGCTTAAAGTGCAAATTGAAAGGCACTTGTTGTCAGGACACGAAAAGTTCGATCATTTACCAGCACGAAGCACAAAAATTAACGACGGCACAATGCCACGACGTCTTTGAAATTCATTCAAGTCTTATTGTAACGCATTTATCAAATAGAATAGTCCATGAAAAGGTCGAAAGACGTTATTTGGATAAACATTTCGGAGCGTTCGACTGGAGAATTTGTAAGAAAGCCGTAAACGACTTTTAGTCGTGACATTGTAAAGTATTTCTGTCTCCTCATTTTTCTATTAACCATAACAATTTGGTGAAAACTGATGGAAGAGAAGACGCTATGCTTGCAGTTTGACTCTGCCACTACGACGAACGGCACACAGTGGCTGGCGTTACATCAATTGAATGGAATTGTTAAAAGACCACACGTATTGGCTTTCGTGGCGAAACGTCTTGTAAAGAGACAGATCTAAGCTACGAAAGAGACTCCACAACGTGGTACAAAAACATGTTAGAGTTTGTGATTCTACTTCAATCTGCAATTTACTATGATAGATTAGAGATGGCAAAGAGTAAGTGTACGACCGGTCGTAACTAGAGCCAGGTACGAAGTTCTGAGGAGCTGGAATGAACTAGTATTTTGTTGAAATTGACATCTCGATGGCAGACGTCAATTTCACGTCATTAGAGAAGGCTGTAAGAGCTATTGTTAATATCAATGTCTTAAATTGACCTTCGGACCCTTTAATGACGTTTGTGGAACCATTACCGTTTAATATTGGCAACTTATCCTCAAAGGGGGCCCGATTACCATCGAAATCTCTGTCAAATATCCATCAAATGAGCAGATCAAGCACTAATGAAAACTTTATAATTTCGTCAGATTGTCAAAAAGCAGTGGCTACGATGGCAACATCGGATCATGCTCCTGAGTTTCAATTCTTAAAAGAGCTAATGGACTTACCGTTTTCTCAACACTGTACACTAAACACTTGGCTGATACGTTAAGAGATAGCTAACTGTTCCACTGCCACGAAATTTTGGATGCCTATCGTCGGATTGACTTCTATTTGCTCGGTCAATTAATGGCTTCAGTCATACTTTTTGAAATAGCGAAAGTGATCGACAAGTTTTCAGCTTAACCTTCAACTCCACGTCACGAATTAATTGACCATCTTGCAAGGGAGAGGACAGGCGTTATATTCACTGTACTTCTTCGCGTGGTACACATATTTCATCTATTTGTTATATTGCTCGAACGTTTTTAGGATAATAAATCTTAGGTTACTTGTTCAATATAAAAAAGGTTCGCTATTTAGTACCAATTATGGGTATGGACCATAGTGGTCTTACCTATATATTCGAAGATTTCAAAGTTGTTTAGACGTCTAATTATTGGCTTCATCACGAATTTTGATCCGTAAGGAGTCGATAACATTCTTAAGCTGCATCAACGGCGAATGATTTGTTCTGTTTCTGTATCTAGGATCATTCCTTTTGTCAAGAGCTTCAGTATCAATTCACACACCATGAAGGAAATCCTCACTTTCAATCGATAGCAAGCTTGACGAATCCATATAATTTATTTCCCACCCTAAATTACATTTTGATTCCTGAAAGTAGACTTGGATTCTAGTCAAGCTACAGCAATTTGATTATGTTGCAACGTTTTGATCTCAAAGGTTGGTTGAATCAGCGGCATTTACTTAAAAAGCGACGTTTCTTTCATACGCATTTACTTGATCGGCATTTCGTTTTAATGGACAATCATTTGTTAAAGACTTTAGAGCGCTGGTTTTAGACTTATAAAAGTAAAGTAAAAGCATGATTATCTCATTTAATCTAGATCATCTGCACGACACAAGAGTCTAACAAACGCTGGAATCCTTGCCACTGGGCTTCAGCTGAATGTCGAGACTCAAAACATCTCAGGAATTGTATATGCAAAAGCTCGCAGCTAGCTCTGAGTTCCTATCAACGAGCTTAACGATGTGGCTACTATCAGCTTAGAAGACAATCTCCATCGGAGGATAGGTAAACGATGGCGGAGCTGCTGTCGGTCTGGACGTGAATTGAGGAGCAATTGTCGATAATTCCAGAGCGGGCGTGGATCCAGTCGAAGGCGATGAACTTTCAGGAGCAGTCGTCGGAGCGGACGAAGGAGATGATTCTTCCGGAGCGGGCGTGGTTTCAGTCGTAGGAGACGAGCTGTTAGGAGTAGTCGATTGAGTGGACGGAGTGGATGTGCCTTCAGGAGCAAGTGTTGTCTTGGGCGCATCGATCGGGGTAGGCGATGACTCAGGAGTGGACGTGCCTTCCGGTATGGTAATTAATGGTAGAGTTGCCGCCGGTTTGGACGTGAATTGAGGAGCAATTGTCGATAATTCCAAAGCGGGCGTGGGTCCAGTCGAAGGTGATGAACTATCAGGAGAAGTCGTCGGAGCGGACGAAGGAGATGATCCTTCCGGAGTGGGCGTGGTTTCAGTCGTAGGAGACGAGCTGTTAGGAGTTGTCGATTGAGTGGACGAAGTGGATGTGCCTTCAGGAGCGAGTGTTGTCTTGGGCGCGTCGGTCGGGGTATGCGATGATTCAGGAGTGGACGTGCCTTCCGGTATGATAGTGGATAGTGGAGCTGCTACCGGACTGGACGTGAATTGAGGAGCAATCGTCAATGATTCCGGAGTGGCTGTGGATTCAGTCAAAGGAGACAAACTGTTAGGAGCAATCGTTGGAGTGGATGTGCCATCCGGTACGAGAGTCGTCTCGGGCGAATTGGTCGGAATATACGTGGACTCAGAAATGGACGTATCTTCTGGGGCCAAGGACGGTATAGGATCAGTTGTAATTGGGCTAGACGTATAAGCCATGTGCGATGGAGCAGCGGGTCGTGTCAACGGGGTTAAGTCGACCTCGTCTTCAGCAGTCGATGTGGCCTCAGGTGAAATTGGTGGAGCTGACGTAAACAGAATTGTTTCTGTTGGAACAGATGTAGTCGCAGGAGGAGGAGTACAAGGCGTTTGAACTTGATGATCAGAAGATCTAACAATCGGGTTCTTGGTGTTGCTGTAGCCGCTTTCATCCGAACGGTGTCCTTCATTTGTAGAGCGGTCAGTCTCAAAAAACTTCGAGCCAATATCAGGCAGATGAAAATAACTTGCAAAATTGTTATAATTGTTGCCGCGCAAGGACTTAGACGCGTACTCTTCGTGAGCCTTATAAGAGGGAGTTTGGTAAGAGGGAATCTGTACCTCGTCGCTTTTTAATGGATACAGTGTTGCGTTTGACTTGCTGGCTTTATTGTCTTTGGTACTTGGTCTGTTACCGTAATCATTACTTCCATTAGTGAAGCGCTTTAGATCACCCTTTTTGTATTTGGTGTGTTCTTGTCCATTCTGTCCATAGTCGTTGTTTGAACGCTTGCTTGATGAACCAAAGACCTTTTGAACCAAATTAGCATTCACGTTACCGTACGACGGAGTTGGGATTGAATGATCTTCAACACCATTGAAGTTGTACGACAACGGAGAAGAGGATTCGTGGCTTTTATTTTCCTCCGTTAGATATTGCATGACTTGATTATTGTTGCTTTCAAAAGTATCGGGTGTCAATGACTCGATCAATTTTGAATGACTCAAGTCGTGCACATACGTCACTTGCTCTTCTTCTGGATATGTCACTTCAGCATCGCCGCATCCAGAAGCAGATGCGCTGGATACGTACGAGGTCGAACCTCCGTCAATACTACGTTGATCAGCGTTTTTGTATGGCGTGTCCACATTTTCGAAAACCTCGTTTGTTGGATAGACGCATTTCAACGTGGTGCCAGCGACGAGAATACACTCTGCATCACTTAGTGCAATACACTTGCCATCGGTGTATGATTGAAGGCCTTCATTGCAATCAGCAACAGCGACATCTCCTTTTAACGGACAAGCTGTTCCACTTGAGTAACCTCCACAGATTTCACCACGAGATGACGGAATGGTGTAGGTAGCATCACCAAGAATTGATACGGTTGAGTCTGCAGCAACAAGACTAAGAGAGACTGCAGCTGCGATAGTTGTGGTAAAAGGCTTTCGAACAAAAACCATTAAGTCTTGGACTTGAGCTATCAAGTTGATGAAGAAAATTGAAGAATGAGCCTTAAGTGGATTGAAAGACACAGCAAAAAAAGGTTGAAACATTTTTAAAGCACGTAGTATAGAAAGTATGTTTGAGCTTCATTCGTCTGTCGTAACATATCAATGAAATCAAATCAAGAAGCCACGAATCGGTCGAAAGACGTTTATTACATCTGGCTACACAATTCGGAACGTTCGACTGAAGAGTTTGAAAAGACTTATAAATCGTGATATTGTAAAAGTATCTCTGTCTTTTACATCGTCGTCATCTATTATAATGAAACGTTTTAATAATTTGTGGACTTTTGAGACTAATGTTCGACGTTTTATTTCTGTGTTCTTGAATAGAGATGGGTGAATAGTATACGATAAATTTTTTAGAAACTAATGGAAGAGGAGACATTACGCTTGCAATTTGGTTCTGCCGCTACGACGATCGGCACACAGTGGCTGACGTTACAACAATCGAATAGAAATGTTGAGAGATTACACGTATTGGCTTTTGAGGCTAAAGGTCGTGTGAAACGACAGATTCGAGTTACGAGTAAGCAAGAAGACCAAAATCCCATAACATGGTACAAAACATATTAGAAATGTATTCTTTTACTTCAAATTACAAACTCATTATGACTAATTAGGGGTGGCAATGTGGAAGTGTACGACCAGTCAGGAATCGATTTAGGATCAAATCATGATGGACTGTGGAACTGGAAAGTACTCAATGAACAGAATCTTGTCGAAGTAGATGAGTTTCGACCATATTTACCACTGCACAATTTCTATGAAGGTCGTGCTATTTGTAATGGTGGTAGTATAAGTCTTTTGTCATTAGAAAAGGCTGAAGATCGTGTGCGGACAGTACTGGAAACGTGCGATCAATTAAAAGTGGTACAAAATTTAGTGGATATGGACTCATCATGGGGAGGTTTAGCTTATGAGATAATGACATACGTCATTGATGAATGTCCTCGTGCAGTAGTGATGACTATTGGTAACGATTGGAGCTATCCATTGAATGTATATGATGATTCTGCCGAATATTGTATTGCGTCCAGTATTCGTGATCGTACAAAAAATGAAGCAAGAATGAATATCAATGTTGCATCCTCGATATCACTTTTGTCAGAAGTGTCGCATTTATTGGTACCAGTGGCCATGAGTTCGAAAACCCTACTCAATACGACATTTCCACATCTTGAATTTAATAAAACCAGTTGTGTCGATGTGAGTTCAATTATTGCGACAGCGCTTGAACTCGCACTATCAGGTTTTCAAGATCGACCAGCGTATGAACTTTTGAAAGGATTCAACCCTCATATGAAGGTAGTTGAATTGGCTGCGCTATTTCCATATAATATGGACCCAACAAGTTTATTGCAATGTATTGGTGATAGTGTGACTAATGAAGTCCGCAGCAATATATTGCAACAAGATCCATTTTGCAACTATTCGTTACTTCCGACCATCCAACACGCAACATCTGACCAGAACCTACTGAACAAGTCATTTTACCGACACTTGTACTTCCGTGGATCATTTCATGGTCATTTGTCTCTACAATCTGCTTTTGATTCATTTCCTGTATCATCTCGAGACGTCACATTACAATGGTCATCATCTTCGCTATTTCTACCGACTAGTTATCGTCTTTCAACGCTTCAAAATTCATTGATTGATGGAATTACTCAATTGTCATCAAACAGAAAAGTTGGCAAGTATTTAAGCACATTGGGGCATTTAGTTGCAACTAGCAATAAGCGTATGTTGCACGAATTCACTCGTGTTGGAATGAGTCCAGACGCACCAGAAGAGCTCAAATCTCATTTGGCAACACTAAGTGACCCATATCTTATATGATAGATGTCAAGTGAAATATTAATAAGTTCAGCATCAAATTTCTCAAAAAAAACTCGTATTTAGTATAGTCTGACCTAAAATATTTATTAGTCCATTTTTCAAGTCGTAGGTAGCTACGAAGCGAAACGCCGTAAAAAAAAAGAAGTAAAAGCGGGCAATTTATTGTCAACACAGTCAACGGGATTTCCCATCGCAATGGACCGAAAACAAAGCGAGACATCGATTTCCTATCGTAGTCGACGTAATGTCGACGAAGATTCGTGGACAGAAGTCGAGCGACAAGAGCTTGACCATGCTGTAAGAAGATTATTGGATTGGCAAAAGAATATGAACTATGTGACCAATATTTCTATTTTTTTTCTTTTTGTAGACTTCGTTTGTATCGGAAAGTATGTATCTTGTCATGGAGAGTCCTGCAGGTGCTCTATATTCGGGCGAAACGGTGCAGTTCAAAGTCCATGCACTTTGTGACCAGACAACATTGGGGAGAGTCGTAGATTCTAGTGAGAAGAAGAAAGTAGTACAAGATCATGAAGACGAGATGATGCACGGAACACTATTTTTAACGAACTATCGACTACTATTTCGCTCTTTCAATGTAAGTAGTAATAATACTCTGTTCTTTTCAAATATATTGATAAGTGTTTCAATCATTTGTATTTAAAGCACCGTGAAGAAGAAGCAATGGAAATTTTATTGCACAATATTGCAGAATTGGCCGAATTTCGTGTGAATGGAAAATCAGGGTTTATGAGTCAATTGGAAATTTCATGTAAGAATTTTAAAGTGATCAAGTTATTTTTTCCGGGGGAAACAGTATCGGGAGACGTTTACGTGATTATTAGTCAATTGCTTATGGGAAAGCTTCAGCCCGCAGCGTTTGTCTGTGCACGTCAACTGGACATTTCAGGATGGAAAATGTATGAGTTAGAGTCTGAATTTGCACGATTGGGCTTTAAAACACCAAAGTGTGGTACTCAGATTGGTGGATTTCGCATCACAGATGTTAACAATAATTATAAATTGTGTCCAACGTATCCTAGCTCGTTTATTGTCCCTGCATTGGTCTCTGATGGCGAACTGCGGAAAATGAGTAACTTTCGTGCTCGTGGACGCGTACCAACTATAACGTATCGACACAAAAATGATGCAATTGTTGGAAGATGTGCACAACCACTTGTGGGTCTGAGACGTAAACGATGTGCGTCGGATGAAGCATTTATAGCTGCATTACGACGAGAATGTGGCGGAAAAGTTTTGTTTATTGATTGTCGTAGCCAAACTAGTGCTTATGGTAATATTGCATTGGGTGGAGGATTTGAAGTGTATGTCGTATGAAGAAATTGGTATTATTGTTGAATATGACTGATTTTATATGAATTTTGTAGATTGGATTACTACAAAGATACCAATATATTGTTTATGGGGATTGAAAATATTCATTCAATGCGTGATTCAATTCGCAAACTTTTTGACTTGATCAAGAATGAAATTCGTGGCAATGAACGTCCGAATTGGCTATCGTGTCTAGAGGTTTGTTTATTATATTATTAATATGATTATTAAATGATATTAATATTGCGGCTACATAGAGCACACGATGGCTAGAACACGTACGCTCGATCCTCGTCTCATGTTCTATATGTGTGGCAAAGCTTATTGACGGCACGAGCTTAATGATTCATTGCTCAGATGGTTGGGATCGTACGGCGCAGCTCACGGCTTTAGTCAAGTTGTGTGCTGATCCGTACTACCGTAGTATTAAAGGCTTTCAGGTAAGCTCATTCTTTTTTGAATGCGACTCTCGACCTGCGTAACAAAAGGTAATGCTCTAGGTTCTTATTGAACAAGAATGGTGTGCCTTCGGACATCAATTTCGTGCACGATCAGGGCCCACGGATACACAAGTTGCTTATTGGGAGGACGACAATACATCACCTGTATTTCTGCAATTTGTCGATGCTGTGTGGCAATTAATGCGCCAGTTCCCATGCTCGTTTGAGTTTAGTGAACGCTATTTAATCGCATTAGTTGATGAAGCTTATAGCAAACGAAGTGGAACGTTTCTTCATGATTGTGAAGCAGCTCGAAAGGTGTGTACAATATGTGAGAATTGATATTGTTATTGTTATTATAATTTCAATTCATTGTTTCATTAGGAGTCGAAGACAATGTATCGGTGCACAAGTGCATGGACAATATTGGAGTTACATCCTGATGCTGCAGAATTTCGGAATCCTTTTTTTATGGTACCATCAAATGACAAAATATCGAGTGCAAAGTCGCCATCAGTGTTGCATTGCAAGTGGCACACAAGTTCATTAGCAATTTGGTCTAGTTTTTATTTGCGATCACTGGCACCAAATGAATCACGGGTAAAGTTTTTACATGTTGACATAGTAAGTGTTTGATTCTTATGTCTTATATATTATGGTCACAATTTATAGGACGCATGGGCACAAAAGTTGCAAGTGACACAACGTGAGTTGCAAGATCAATTAAGTGTGGCACATGAACAGTTGCAGACGCAAATGGAACAAAATTTAGATTTGCAGACAGAAGTGGAACAATTGCGACGAGATCGTGCACAATTAACACGATTATTGGAAGGTGAAGTATATAGTGATACGCTTAATGGTTTACTTGTACATGAGGAAGAGGAAAGCGAAGATGGTGTGTTGCTTAGTGTGACATCTATGGCAGAAAGTCGCACAACATGCAGTGAAAGTGGCTCAATAACGTCAGAAGGCAAAGTGTATGCAACAACAGGCGTTGGATGTTTTCTTGGCGGATCTATGAGTCAAGATTTTGAAATTTTACATTCATATTTTGATCCGATCGATGCAACTTCGACATTATTTACACGCAGAATGAATGTTGAGGAAGTGGTAAGATAAAAATAGAAAGATGCAAAAATTGAAGTTTTTGATGGTGTTGTTTTGTTGCATGTAAACATAAAGTAAGTTTTAGCCAATAGAATTGCTCCGCAGATCCCACGTTGCCACAACACTTGGCAATTCAGCTCTTGGCACGACGGCAACATTAGTATGAGCAAGGAAGATGGCAATCACAAAGAATGCAAGCTATTGAGTGGCGATTTTGCCATGTTATTGCAGATCTTACTTGGATTTATTGCTCTCTCTGTGCTCGCATTGAAACGATTGCGTGAAGTGCCTCGACGTCCACTAGTGGTACATTATATTGCAACGTTAGTGGCAAATTGGGACACTTTGACAATATATTGTATATAGGTCTGGACTTTTGATGCTGCGAAGCAAATGGTTGGTGCAACATTTGCACATGTGGCGAATTTGTTTATTGCCATTGTGCTTTATTCTTACCAAGAGGACATGCATTCTGTCGGCCATTCTGTTGATCAGGTAAGATTTCTGATTCTATCACAAAAAGCAATTGCAAAGTCTTGACACAATAAGTGGGTTTTCATTGCAGTGCGCATTGTACTTTGTCAATTTTACATTAGACACGACATTTGGGATTTTTCTCAACTACGTTTTATTATCAGCAGTTGTGCTTTTAGCACTTCGTTTTAATTGGTCTTCCTTAAAAAAACCTGGCGATTATGGCACTCCTCCACGAGTACGAACATGGGTTACACAAGTTATTTCATGGATTCTCGTCATTTTTGTTTGCAAAATTCTCATTGCGGTGGTTATCGTAGCATTTCAAAAACCATTAGGAGCTTTTGCAGCGTTACTCTTTAAACCTTTGGATAGTTATCCAGACGTTGAATTGACTATTGTCATGATTGCTTGTCCATGTTTAATGAATGCGCTACAATTTTGGATTCAAGACAATTTCTTAAAAAAAGATGTTCGAGACGAAAGTTTTATTGTCGCCCAAGCAGCTGAGTCGCCAAATTCAAGTGACAATAAATTGTCGAGTCTCGGCACTCAAACACAAGACGAATGCAGTGAAGCTAGCGAAGATGATTTGAAGCTCATGATTGTAGAAAAATCCGACAGAAAGAGACTTCATCTTGATCTTTCATCCGTGTAAAGTACTAGTTTCAAGTCATGTAAACCCATAATCTCAGTGAAGCAATTTTTTTAAGAAAATTCAATGCCATTCTTTTGCATAGGTTATAAGCATTTACTTCCGTCGCATAAACATAAGAGCTAGAGCTCCAAGACCCACAACTAAAGTTGCGCCTCCTGCTATTAAACCCGTTGGGTTCTTTTGCTCACGTTTGCGACGGGATTTTTTGCTTTTCTTCCTTACAATTTCTTCGTCACTACTTTCGTCACTACTATCTGACGACATTTCATCCACTTTCGTAAGAATTTGACTACGCGCCTTGGCTCCACCAACATTCACGCTACTTGCAGTATTGCTTGCACTCGAATTAGCCATAGACACGACACTGCCATTACCATCATGAGAACGATTGACCACATCAACGACGAGGACCAGACGCTTCCAACCCGCACGCTGGGCCATGTGCACGGCTTCCACAAGACTCTCGTCTGATGTCAAAACTGCCAAATCTCCTTCATCATCTTCATATTTAAGACGCAGGGCTTCATTGTCGTCCATTCCCATTTTAAATCGAATTTGTTCTAATAGCGGACCCATTGAGGTAAAGCGACACATGATGCGATGGAAATGACCTTGAGAACCATCGCTCACTTTAAATACAAACATGTTTTCGTCCATAGTTTTCTGCATTAAATTGCTAGTCGCGGCTGTATTTGCGCCACTCACAACAGACACACTCTCACCGAGTTCTGCGTATGCACCGAGCGAGTTGGAATACCGACCAGCACCAAGACCCACAGCACTTGCCGTCGGAGTTGACACGCTGCCATTACCATTGAACTCGTCACGCTCGAATTCTTCGATCGTACCAATAGATCGTACATCGTCATTTACTTCGCCAAATGCACCGCCAGCCACTTCTTCCTGAAGATTCATTGCTGTCTGCCAGAACTTTCTCCAGTCACCGTTAGAAGTGCCACCAGATGTCGTCTGAAATTGACCATAGCTCAAGCAAATGACGTCTGCCATGCCCAGAATCTCACCATCGTCGGCCAATACGGGCATAAAAAGTTGACCTGCACCGTGCAATGCACGTAAACCATCTACAATGCTCATGTTCGGGCCCATTAGATCTGGATCTACTGTCATCACTTCTTCAACCGTCGTGGTATCAGCGTACAAGCCCTTGGCTACCAATTTACGGAGCAAATCTTTCGTTGTCACCATACCGCACAATTCTTGCTCGTCACCCAAGACTATCGCCGCTTTCTTTGTATTTGCCATCAGCTTCGCTGCACGTGCTGCAGTCGTATGAATGGTAATCACTGGCGGCATTAGCTCGCCGTCCAGTGCGTCTCCTACTGTCGGTCGTACCATTTTTTCCATCATTGGACCCAGTAATCGCTTCAGATTCGAGCCTGTTTCAAGATCTCGTGAGAATTGTGACGCCGCTGCTTCAGTGGACTGCTGCACCTTTTCCATACACGCTATGGCGTCGTATAGACACTTGGAGATATCCAGCATGCCTTGAGGAGTGCCGTCCGAGCCGAGAACCGGCAAATGCTTAAATCGACCTTCCAGCATCTTTGTGATGGCTTCGATGGCCTGATCTTCCATGTACACGCACATGGGTTTCTTCGTCATCACAGAAGCGACGGAACAGCTCTCTGGATCCAGCTCTTCAGCTAGCACGCGCCGCACAATGTCCGTGTCCGTCAAAATTCCACGCAATTCACCTTCTTCGGTCGTAACCACCACTGCCTCGACGCGTGCTTGCCGCATACGCTTGGCTGCTTCAGCTACCGTGATAAATTCGTTGATACGCGTGACTTGCTGTGGGCGAAGCATCGAGACGGGACGCATTGCACCCTCCGGTTCAGGATTATCGCGATCAATCATGGACGAGTGGTGACTCTCCGTATACTTGCCTGGTCGGCGGCGAGACACGCGCGAGCCAGTCAAGCTGGCCAGCTCACTAAAGTCATCTTCGTCATGACCAAGCGCCAGTGAGACGTCCCAGAACGCGCGCCAGTCCGAGTCCTCGTCTATGGCTGCAGCGCCGCTCGCAAATGTGCCGTAACATAGCGACAGGACATCCAGCATGCCTACAATCGTGGCCGTTTCTTGATTGACAACCGGCAAGTGCAAAAAGTTCTGCTCGTACATTATATGCAGCGCTTCAACAAGTTTCGTGTTAGGTGGAGCCGTTTCAGGGTTTGGTGTCATCACCTGGCCCACAGTCGTTTCAGCGGCGTCAAGACCTGCGCCAGTCACACGTAGTAGCAGATCCTTGGGCGTAAAGACTCCTAAAACTTTTCTAGTCAGCGCAGATGTTCCGATGTCATAGCCTCCCCCACTAAACGACGATCGACGACCGCCACTCACTGACGAACTCGAGTCATTAATTGGATCCTCTACAATCAGTGCAGCTTTACGAGACGCAGCCATCTGACGCGCCACTTCCATCACTGTATCATGTTCACTTACGAGCGGCGGCAGTGTCTCATCTTCAAGAATGGTGTCCACCGTTGGTGATAGCAGCTTCTCCACCATCGGGCCAACAAGCTGCTTTAAAGCTCCCTGGCCATTGCCGATACCAGTGACGTGTAACTGTTTCTCCAGGCGCTGTCGAAGCGAGCCACTAGACGACTGTTGCACCTTTTCGATGCGAGTAATGGCGTCATACAGGCATTTCTGGATTCGAAGCATACCGGATACCATTCCCGTTGCGTCCACGACCGGCAGATGACGAAATTTTCCTTCCAGCATCATAAACATGGCATCCATTGCGCTGTCGCGTTCGTCAACAAATTTCGGGTTTGGAGTCATTGCATCCATCACACTGACGTAAAATGGATCATTTCCCAGCGCCACCACACGCCGGGTTACATCGGTATCCGTTAAGATTCCGAGCAGTGCACCATCACGTCCGATAACTAGAGCCGCATCTGTCTGCGTGATACTCATCTTCTGAGCAGCATCTGCAACTGTGAAGGTCTCGGAGATCGTGATTGCTTTGGAAGGACGCAGCTTTGACACTGGACGCACATCTCCCGTCGCCAAATTCGCTTGACGGCCCTTTTGACTCAAGCCACTGCTGCTTGGTGCAACGCTGTGAGAGAATCCACTACGGAAACTGTGCTGTGACGACGCGTCGTCGTCTTCAGCGGCCTCAAATGACGCATTCCAAAATGATTTCCATTCACTTGGCTTGCCTTTTGCAAATGATCCATAGCTTAACGATAATACATCAATAAGACCAGTGGGCTGCTTGCTTGTCTCAGTTTGCATCACAGCTAGGTACAGCGTCTTTTGATCGTGCATGATGTGCATTGCGTCAATCACTGACGTCGCTCCCGTTATCCTCACATCTTTGTCAAGCATTACTTCGCATACTGGTGTCGTGTGGACGGGCAGACCACGTGCTAGCACTTTCTCGAGCATTTCTTTTGGCGTAAAAATACCACAATACTGTCCACGATTGTTTACGACTAGTGCACCTTTTTTAGTGCTTGCCATCTGCTTGGCCACCTCAAAAACAGACGTATACTGCTGAACATGAGGCGGTTCGACGCCTTCTTCATTGATAACAGTCTGAATGTCGGGTGAAAACATTTTATTTACCATCGATCCGAGAAGCTGCGAGACGCCATCAGCACGTGCATTGCCATTCGCACGAATATTCATCTCCTTCTTCAGCGTTTGGCGCAGAGCAGCCGACGATTGTTCCGACTTTTCCATCTTACGAATAGCATCATACAAACACTTTGCAATGCTCAAGATACCTACGACAGGGCCGTTGCGCTCGACGACCGGCAAATGACGAAATTTGCCTTGAAGCATGGAGATCAGTGCTTCAATCGCCGGATCATCCATGGATACAAATACAGGGTCGCGCGTCATAACATCGCCTACTAATGTTGTATTTAATGGTCTATTCTCAGATACGACGCGGCGCGTCAGGTCCGTGTCAGTGATTATTCCGCTGAGCATGCCTTCATTCGACACAACCAAGACGCAGTCCATCTTGTTGCGCCCCATTGTCCGTGACAGCTCGGCAAGTGTTGTCGTCTCCAAGACCGTCAACACCTTAGATGGCCGCAGCTGTGCAACGGTGCGACTCCTTTCCTCTCGTTCTGCCCGCGACAGGAGCGTTGTTCGCTCACGATTGTCAGTCTCTGATGGCTGCGATGGTTGGTCTAGCTGCAGCGTCGTGTTCCAGAACTCTTGCATTTGCTCACGATTTTCCCCATATATGGCATCAATCGTTCCGTAACTCAGATCTAGCACATCAACCATTCCCACCAGTTCGTTCGATGTATCCTTAAGTACAGGCAGGTTCAAAATGCGCGAATCGTGCATAATGTGCAATCCATCGAGTACCGAAGTCGATGGAAAAGCAATCTCGGGGTCGTTCATCATCACATCTTCTACGTGCGTCGCCGAAGCTTTATGTCCTTTAGCAATGACGTTTAGCACCAATTCATTCGGAGAAAAGATCCCGACAAGTTTGTTAGGATTAAAATTGTCGACGATCAGTGCAGCTTTCTTCGTCGTGGCCATAGCTTTAACTACATCACTCACGAGAGATGACATGGGTAGACGCGGCGCTGGCGTTGAATTGCTTTGGGCTTCACTACTAAGAATTGATGTCAGCGTTGGTTTCGAAAGTTTTTCTAACATCGGAGCTAGCAGCTGCTGCAGCGTTGACGACTTGCCGCTTTTCTCGATCGACGCCTTGAGCTGATCCGTCGACTGCATCGCATACTCGAGACGCTTTGACACGTCGTAAATACACTTGCCAATGTTCAAAATGCCGGCGATCGAACCATTGTCAACCACTGGTAGGTGACGAAAGTGTCCTTCTTGCATCGAAAGTAACGCGTCAATTGCGCTGTCATTAGGAGACACGTACTTGATATCTCTAGTCATAACATTGCAAACGGGCACTTCCTCAGGAATCAAGCTGAGTGCCTGTACACGACGACAAATGTCCGTGTCGGTCAGGATTCCACTCAAGCCTCCAGCTTCATCCACGACAAGTAGCGCGTCCGTGCGCTTTTGTTTCATCAATAATGCTGCTTCAAACACAGAAGCAACCTCGTCGATTGTAATCGCAGGAAGGGGACGCAAACTCGAAACGGGACGAACATTGACGCCTTTATCGCGGTCCTTTTGTTGCCGCACTTTGCTAGCAACCGACATGGTTGACGTCGATCTACCTGACACCATCGAATTTGTCTCGTCATCGTGATAATCGAGGGCAGCGTTAAATAGATTTCCTATCTCGCGCGATTCGCCAAACGAAGCCAAACTGATGGACAGCACATCAGCTACGCCCAAGATCTCTCCAGAGTCAGAGGCTACGACAGGTAAATTTAGGAATTTGCCGTCGTGCATGATATGGAATGCATCTAGCACGGATGTTTCTGGGACTGCATACTCTGGATTGGGTGTCATGACGTCACTGACACATGTCATATTGACGTCAAGCGCTTCGGCTACAACACGATGTAGTACGTCTTTCGGGGTGAAGATGCCAATCAGATCCTGTGATTCCGGGTTTGAGGACACGACAAGCGCCGGTCGCTTTGTTTCTGCCATGTATGTCGTGGCTTCATAAACTGTCATGTTACCGTACACGAGCGGCGGCATCACTTCTGTGGGCTTTGATACAACGTCAAGCAACGTAGGGGACAGCATTTTCTCTAACATCCCCCGAAGCATCGCATTGTCGCTCTTCGCGCCTAATTCTTGCTGCAATGCTGTCGACAAATTTTCAACTCGACGAATGGCATCGTGTAAACACTTGGCGACATTTAACATGCCAACAATGTTGCCGTTTTGAGCACTCACGACTGGTAAATGACGAAACTTACCACTCAGCATCATGTCCATGGCATCCACTGCACTATCGTCAAGACTTACACAGCTGGGCTTCGGAGTCATTACAGATCCAATTGTGATTCGAGCGGGGTCTAAATTCTTTGAAATGACACGGCGAGCAACGTCCGTATCAGAAAATATACCACTCAATGCTCCTTCATAGTTAGTCACTAAAACAGCAGACGCACGATGCGACTTCATCAATCGCGCGGCCTCCAAGACGCTCGACTCTTCGTTCACTGTAATGGGCTTAGCTGGGCGAAGGCGCGCCACTGTACGGGATGGATCAGCTGTCGATGCTGCTGATTTCCTGGTCTTTGAAGATGTCGACATCATGGACGAGTGCGACTTTGCAAACGATTGACCAGAAGTGGTCGAACTGTTTGAATTGGAACGTGCACGACGCTCAAAAGTCGAAGGCTTGATTGGAGGTATAATCGGAGTCATCGTATGCGACTCATTGCGTCGTATAGTTGGGATGGGACCATTATAAATTGTGGGAGGGCGCCTGGGTGTCTGATTTGGGGCGACAGAAATCTCTTGGGTGGGACTGTAGTCAGTTGTCGGAGGAGAGCGGGAAGAAGCGTTTCCTGACGGCTGTACTGGCGGCAAAATTACTGGTGGAGCCACCAGAGCTGGTATTGGAGCTAACTCTGGAATTACTGAAGCTGGCATGGAAACTGACACAGCAGCCAACGGAGCTGGCGTGGAGACTGACACAGCAGCCAACGGAGCTGGCGTGGAGACTGACACAGTAGCCAACGGAGCTGGCGTGGAGACTGACATAGCAGCCAACGGAGCTGGCGCGGAGACTGAGACAGGAGCTGGCACCGGGTTTGGCACAGAAATCTCAGGAGTTGGTGCCAGGATTGGCGCAGAAACCTCGGGAACAGGACGTTTGTTCCCGGGTAGCGCCGCAGGAGAAGAATTTGGCGCTAGAACAGCAGGCTCGCTTTTCAAGAGTATACCACTCCTATCCACATTCGATGGGGGTGTAGGAGTAGCAGGCACTGGCTCAAGCTCTATAGGAGGTGACGCTTTTTTTTTCGGAGAAGGTGGGGGCACCGGCTCTGCGGGCACTTCGACCTTTTTCGGAGAGGTTGGAGAATTAACAGAAGCAGGAAACCTTGCGCGCTTCCTCTTCAATATGTCAATATCACTTTGAAGCTGTGCACACTTGTCAAACTTCTTTTTCTTCATCAAAGAGTCCAGCTCCTCGTTCAGCTTGTCAATTTCCGCATCCAATTCCGCCGGTGTCTGCTTCTTTTTGCGTGCAGACACGAGCGCATCTAAATTAGCCTGAAGGTCTCCACACTTGCTGAAATCCCGAGCAGCCATTGCCTCAGCAATTGTGATTTCCATCGCCTGAATACGTTCATCCAACTCTGCAGGTTCTAAATCATTCAGGTCCTCCTTAACATGTTTGCGGGCTTCATCGAGCACTTCAAGCTGCTTTTGAATCTCAGCACATCGGCCGAACTGCTTGCTTACTGCCGCCGCCTCCATATCTTCATTCAGCTTCTTGATTTCAGCATCAATTTCTTTGGCAGTACGCACCTTCTTACGAGCCTCAACTAACTTTTCTAGCTCAAGCTGCAAATTTGCGCACAACTCGAATTGTTTGCTCATTGCCGCATCTTCAATAGCTTTTTCTATTTCAGTAATTTTGACATCCAGTTCTTTTGGACCCAGTTCGTCACAAGGGTGCAACAAGTCACGTTTACGTATTAAATATCCTCGCGTAATTTTCTGAACAATGACCGCCTTTTCGTTGTGGATACGATGCTCTGCTCGCATTCGCTGATACTTAGCCATGGCCACACGCATGCGTAGAATATACATGACACGGTACGCGCATTGACGTAATCGCTTAAGTTTTTTCTTAGCCATACATTGCCGGACTTTCGTTTGAATCTTCACCACTGCTTCTATTCTCGCCATGTTGCGCACCCATTTTTGTATAGTACGTGCGGCTGATTTGCCACGTAACATTTCGAGCCTCCGTAGCTTGAATGCCATATCTCTTTTTAGAAAAACTTTGGTCTTTCCCAGTTGCCACTCTTCCTTGCCAGCTCCTAAGATAGACGAAATTTCCAGAACCAGCTCCTTAATATTTTCTGCATCCGGTGCTAAGGACTGATAATCGTAAAAGAATACGTCGTGATCTTCCCTCATAGCAAAACCTCGCTGACGAATTTGAATTGCTTCCATCATTCCAGAGTACTTTAATTGGCGCGCACAGTCAGCATCATTCAGCTCACTCGGACGCTTAACCTCATTTGGCTTGATACAGCGCACATAGCGAGGATTCGCCAACGAAATTTTGTTCATTAATTCCTGCAGTTGGTATCGAAATTGTGCACTGACCGAGACTTCTCGAATGTTGCGCGATTTATTGCCAAGTGCATTCTTTTTAACCTCTGTTGGACGACGCGAAATCGTGTGCTGCACTTGCTTGTTACCTGGAATAGCCTCGATCGATCGCATGTTTAAATCAAAGATTTCACGTAGCCAGTCGCTCTTAGATTGCCGGATGAGCTCTTTCATGTCGTCATTCATCATCTCATTGTTCTTATCATTAAACCCACTAGCATCGTAAATGACTTCACCAGCATAATGCTTAATTCCAAAATGCAAGTCCGCATCCATCTTTGGATGCACATAAAACTTGTTCTTACTCGTCGCTTGACCGCTCGTAGCGCGCCCAAACGAATTGTGTAAATTCGATACAAACTTTTTATTTGCTTCCTCGCCTTTCAATCGCCAATTATCATCCAGCGAGATAAAAATTCCTGGTTTCCCATTCACTTTACTTTCAATAAGATCTAAACATTCTTGATTGTCATCAAAGTCAATGTGTTTCCAGTCAATTCCTTCTTTTGCGTAATCATTTTGTTCCACCTCTAACATATGCTGATTAAAATGTCGCTGGAGCTTTTCATTAGCATAATTAATACATAACTGCTCAAAAGTGTTCCACTCAAACTTTTCAAAGCCATAAATGTCCAACACTCCAATAAATCCCCACTTGTCTTGCGTCCGTGAAATCGTACGATTAAGCTCAGACACAAGCCATAAAAAAAGCGAAGAGTAAATTCCTTTAGCCAATGCGTCACGTTTGTCACGTACTTGCTCGAAATTTTGCTGTTGGACAATCACCTTGCCACCGACGTAAAGTTGACGCGTCACAAGGGCCTTCGATAAGGCGTCTTCACTTACTTGAAGCAGCAATGCCACAAGTTTCATTCGATCAACCGAGTCATCTTCAACTGTTACGCATGTATCATTTTCCATCGCAAACTGCAAGTTGCCAAGGTGCAAGACTGCAGCCAAGAGTTCAAACACTCGCTCTTGACGCTTTGCCGTAATTCCAATCGTCTCTAAGCAACGTTTCGTCACGGCAAATTCTTGAACATCATCACACGAATGAATGTGAAAACATTCACTCTTGCGTAAATAATCATATTCATGCGGAGTCTGTAATTGAAGACGTTCTCGTAATGTCTTGTCCGCACCCGCAAGTAATTGGTAGAAAATGTGATAATTGCGTTCCCCTAAACTTTGTGATACAATTCGTGTCTTCTCAAGTAGAAAATTCAGAATTTGAGCACCTACAATTTTTCCGTGATGGTTAAATTGAATCTCAATAAATTTTCCAAATCGACTAGAATTATCATTCCGCAAGGTCTTAGCATTCCCAAATGATTCAAGTAGTGGATTGCTCTCCAAAACTCGCTCTTCAAGCTTCCCTAATGCACTTGCCATGCCGTCTAGAGGTACAGGGGCTGCATTTTCACCCTCAGGTCCTTTCCGGTAGCTTGTAGCACGAGCCAAGTATTGCATGATGATCTTGGTCGTTTCTGTCTTGCCTGAGCCACTCTCTCCACTAATAATGATACTCTGATTAGCTGGATCTAGTGCACCGCCTTGGATGAGCTGTGTATATGCATGATCCGCTAATGCAAAGACATGCGGGGGTAATGAGCCCATGGCTTTGCCATAATATTCCGTCATATGACGCTCACTGTAGACGTCTAACTGCTTATATGGGTTAATTGCAATGACAATAGGTCCAACATATGTGTAAATGAGATCATGTTCGTAGCGCTTGCGTAAGTTTTCAAGCAATGATTGCTCTGATAGATCTGACATGTGGAGAATGTCCTCAAACGTGTTGCCAGTAGGTGACGTGTCCGTATCTTGCATTTTTTTCTTCATCTTGGCGCGCAGTAGCCGCTCCTTGCGGGTGCCTCCACCACGTCGCTGCATAGTTATTGAGCGACCACTGCGATATTAGTCACCGATCTGCGTGTGGGCTACAAACGCGCGATTGTCGAATAAAACCTCAAGCAGATGGGTCAGGGACTTGAGCAAATTGAAATTGCGAATAGTGAATTTATCGACTTATTTTAGACAAACCAGGAGTGTTGACCTGTCGTTATTAATACCAATCACATACTGACGGTTATAAGGTTTAATTGCCCACAATGTTCCGGGAATGTTCGCTAAAGCAAGTATGCGAATACATATGATACTAAATTGGGTGAAACACATTGATTTCACGTATTCAGATTTTTTCTGGGGAGAATGGAAAAAACATATTTAAATGGAAAAAAATCTACCTTGAATTACAACTTTTCCACTAAAATGACAAAAATCTACGTACGAAGTAAGAAAACTATCTAAAGATCAAAAACATAAAAATATATCCAACTCGCTAAGAAATTTTTTAATGCTGCACATTACTGGTGCATCGACGCTTGTTGTGTCCCACTTGACTACAGCTGCCGCATCGATA